GGGAGTCCAGCGACATAGCCATTACGCTACCTGCTGGTTCCCTATTGAAAAACTATTCTTCATCAAATGATCTTGGTACATACTCAGTTGATTATATACATATGGTTTTATTTCTATAATTTAATTCTTTCCCATTGATCACCATTTATGCTTATGTGAGTACCACATTGTTTTAATTATTATAGTTTTATAGTATTAGTAGGTTTTGAAATCAGGAAGTGATAGTTCTCCAACTTTATTCTGCCTTTTAAAGACTGTTTTAGTGGAAAAGCAGCAGCACCACCAGATCCAAGATGGCGGCCAACAGGAGGCTGATGAAGGAGCTTGAAGAAATCCTCAAATGTGGAATGAAAAACTTCTGTAACATCCAGGTTGATGAAGTTAATTTAGTGACTTGGCTTGGGCTTACTGTTCCTGACAACCCTCCATATGACAAAGGGACCTTCAGAATTGAAATCAACTTTCCAGCAGTGTACCCATTCAAACCACCGAAGATCACATTTAAAACAAAGATCACACCAACATTGATGAAAAGGGGTGGGTCTGTCTGCCAGTAATTAGTGCTGAAAACTGGAAGCTAGCAACCAAAGCTGACCAAGTAATCCAGTCCCTCATAACACTGGTGAACGACCCCCCAGCCCAAGCACCCCCTCCAGCTGACTTAGCTGAAGAATACTATAAAAAATTCTGTAAGAACGCCGACATGTTTACAAAGAAATATGGAGAAAAGTGACCTGTGGACTAAAATCTGCCATGATTGATTCCAGCAAGTGTGAGCAGAGACCTGGCGCAGGGCACTCAGACACCCCGCAAAGCAGGACTCTGTGGAAAATTGACATGTGCCACCACCTGGTGTTCGCTCGTGGCAGTTACTAACTTTCTACAGTTTTCTTAATCAAAAGTGGTCTAGGTAACCTGTAAAGAAAGCATTAAAAATTTAAGATGTTCTAAAAAAAAAGAGATTGTTTTAGCTATTTTGAGTCTCTCGCATTACACACACACACACACACACATGCACACACACATGCACAGATACTCACACAGACACACACACAAGTTTTTGAGAGATTTTTACTATAGGCACTTGTGCTTGCCTGAGAATCAGAGAGACAGAAAATGAGAAATCACCTCCCAGGGGAATGGACACATTTCAACCCCTTCTCCTCCATTCTCCTTTTGGGATTCTGGGTACATATGCACACATGCCTGGCATGAGTTTTATTCTGCTGGGTCCGGGACTCGAACCACAGTTGACTATGTGGGAGACTAGTGATGTAACCATTATGCCATCTGCTGGTCCCCCCACACAAATTTTTAAATCACTGTTTCCATCTCTGAAATTAAAAAAAGAGGAGGGGGAGTTGGGATTCTGATAGAAATTGCACTGGCTCTGTAGAATACTTTGGGTAGCATTACCATGTTTTGTTTTTTTTTGGAAAGGTTTTTGCTATAAGGTGCATGTGCTCACCAGAGAGACAGAGACAGACAGACAGAAAGCGAGAAATCACCCCCCAGGGGGAATGCCCATGCCACAATCCCTTCTTTTCCATTCTCCTCTTGTGATCTTGGGCACACACACACATGCACCAGGCCTGAGTTTAAGCCACCGGGTCCGGGACTCGAACTGCGGTCGACTACATGGGAGTCCAGTGACATAGCCATTTAACTGCTGGTCCCAGCATTACCATCTTAACAATATTAACTTTTACAGTCCATGAACACAGCCAGTCTTCCTATTTACTTCTGTCTTCATTAATTTCTTTCAATGATGTTTTGCAGCTTTTGGTACTAATGTCTTAACAACTTGGATGAATCTATTTCTCACTATTTTCTTCTTTTTGAAACTACTATAAATGAATTTTATTTTTCAGATTTTTCACTGCTAGTACATAGAAATAAAAATGACTTTTGTGTTGATTTCTTATTTTACAAAAACATAAATCTGTTAGGTTTGGAGCCAGGAGGTGGAATGGTGGTCAAGGCACTGGATTCCCACATGGCCAACTGTGATTCAAGTTTTGGACCTGCTAGTTTCAAGTAAAGGGATAAATAATTTTCTTTTTAAGTCTAGTAGGTATTTTGTGTGTGTGCATGAATTCTTTATGACTTTCTAAATATAACATTATATACTTTGAAAAGAGAGTTTTACTTCTTTTTGAATTTGGGTGCCTTTCTTTCTTACCTGATCTCCTGACTAGAACCTTTAGTATAATGTTAAATAGAAAGGGCAATATGAGGCAAATTTTTTGTGTTCCTGATCTTAAATCTTTCAGTCTCTCACTGTCAAGAATAATACTAGCTGTAAATTTTTCATAAATGCCCTTTATCAGTTTGAGGAAATTCCTTTCTATTTCTAGTTTGTTCTTTTTCTTTTTAAAATCATAAATGGGTACTAGATTTTGTCAAAATTTTTTCTGTATCAATTGAGACAAACATGTTTATTTTTCTCCTTCGTCTATAAATATTACATCGATTTTCGTGTAGAACCATCCTTGCATTTCTTGGATAAATCTCATCTGGTTATAGTATATCCTTGTAATATGCTGCTGGACTTCATTTGCTAGTGTTTGTTTATGTTTTGTTTTTTAATGTCAGAGGGTGCATAAATGTGCTTGAGAGAGACCAAGACCAACCTCCAATGAGGCCTGGTCACATCACAATCCCTTTCCCTCCATTTCTCTATCTCTTCAAAACCCTGGGCACACACACGTGTCCAGCATACTACGGAGTCACGATTTGAACCATGATAGACCATGTAGGATCTGGCTCCTTCTGAATAGCACTTAACAAACACTATACAGGACCAGCCCTAGTTTGCTAGTGTTTTATTGGGGACTTTTGTATCTTATCTCACAAAAAGATAATAATAGTTTTCTTTTCTTTTGACATCTTTGTCAAATTTGGCCTCATAGAATGAGTCAGAAAGTATTCCCTCCCCTTCGATTTTTGATAGAGTTTGAAAAATAGTCGTGTTAATTCTTCTTTACACATTTGGTAGAATTTATCAGTGAGGTCATCTGGTGCTAGGGTTTTCTTTGTTGGGAGTTTTAAATTCCTGATTCTATTTCTTCATAGATATATATATATAATCTGTTCAGAATTTTTACTTTTTAAGTCAATTTGGTAGCTTATGTGATATAGAAATTTTCTGTTCCATTTGATTTTCTCTATTTAAAGCATTTTTTCTTTCATTTACATCTACTCTTATCTTTATTTCTTCTTTTCTGTCTTTGGATTTAGTTTGCTCTTCTTTTTCTAGTTTAATTTTTCTTATCTTTTTTTTTTTTTTAACTGCCAGAGGGTACAGACACTCATTTGAGAGCGACAGAGAAAGAGAGGGAGTAAAAGAGAGCACCCTCCAGTGGCGCATGGTCATACCACAATCCTCTCTCCCCTTCTTCCTCCTGTTGGGTTTTGGTCACACACATACACACACACAAATGCACCTGGCATGTTTATCAAGCCACTGGAGCTGAGATTGGAACCACAGTTTGCCATGTGGGAGTTGGCGCCCTTAATCATGAGTAGGCTATAGTATTGGCCCTCTTGTTTCTTTCTTTTTTTTTTAAAGAGGTTTTTGCCATAGGGCGTGTGCAGTTGCTGGAGAGAGAGACAGAGACAGTGAGAAGGAAAGTGAGAAATCACTCCCTTTGAGGAGATGACCACACCATCTTCCTTCCTTCTCCTCCTGGGATCTTGGGCACACACACACATGCACCCGGCATGATTTTCAAATCACCAGGTCTGGGGCTCCAACTGTAGTTGACCATGTGGGAGTCCAGTGACATAACCACTATGCCATCTGCTGGCCCCAGCCCTCTAGTTTCTTAAGATGGAAGTTTAGGTTAGTGATCTGAAATCTTTCTTTTTTTTATTTTTTGAATTCTTTTAATTTTATTAATTATTATTATTTATTTTAGAAAATTTGACTAGTGAGACAAAAAGGGAAAGTGAGGAAGCAACCCAGGGTCAACCATATAGGAGTCCTTCACTT